TAAATGTAATGTCAAATTATATTAAAAAGAAAATAACAATTTAATAACTTATTGAAAAGATAATTGAAATAATAATGTTAGCTCCACAAGAAGAATGTTTTACAAATATTGTACAAGATTTTCTTATCTGTACCACCATACACAAGGCCCGCCAATTGGGCATCTTTCAAAATGCCATTTATGTGCGTATAACCCTCGATAAAATGACAAGACATACTAGAACTTATGAAAATTCAGAAAATCCTTATTTTAATGAGGTAAGTTTAATACAAATGGATACAAAATTATATCTAAAAAGATCTTTAGTACTTTGTTTTCGAAATCAAATGCACCTTAATGGAACTGCTGCGTTTGACCATATTGTATGAGGTGAAAAAGCACACATCCTGCAAGAAAAATCCCACTTTGGGAGAACTGCTTATAGATGTTCAAAGTGTTTGGAATCAGACAAATCGTTGTTATTTTAAGAAATGGGGCCGCTTAGAAGCTCCCATGGGTCAGACTGCTTCATTTGAGGGTGTTGAAAGGGGTGATGTTGCTGCTGCTAGTGGAGGGAAGGGGTTTTTGCAAATCGATTTAGCTATAGTTACACAAGCTTCTAATCCAAATAATTTACTGAAACCAAGTGAGGATGATTTGTTGGTTTTGAATAAATGGCAAATACATCAAGATTATGATGATATAGAAAAGTAAGATAATTTTCCCCACTAGATATATATATCTGAGTATTTAAAAAAAAGTTTAAAAACATTATTGATATTCGAAAAATTTTGTTTCATATCTTCCAGAAATCTTCTTCAAAATGTAGACACTGCTGTACGCTGCAACATACGCTATACGCTGACCTTTTATCGTGGCATTATGGCTAAGAAATCGGATTATGTTATACAAGTATTGGTTTTTAAAACATCTAAAACTATTGACGTATTTATAATTTCATTATTTGATTTCTAAAGTTTAGATTTCATCCCTTTAAAGGTAAGACAAACGTTGCCAAAAATACTCAAGATCCTTGTTGGAATCAAGAAATCTGTTTTGTTTGGTGTTATCCTTCATTGGCTCAAACTCTGGTCATAGAGCTGCTGATGCATGAACATTTGCAGTGGAAGTGTGTGGTAGAATATGAATTACATTTCAATGAAATTGCTTTTAAGGGTAAGGCGGTCCAACATTGGTCCATAGGTGGTCGAAAGTTAATCGAAAAACAAATCTGATTCTGATGAGTTAGTTAGCTAGTTAGTTAGTTAGTTAGTTAGTTAGTTAGTTAGTTAGTTAGTTAGTTAGTTAGTTAGTTAGTTAGTAGTTAGTTAGTTAGTAGTTAGTTAGTTAGTTAGTTAGTTAGTTAGTTAGTTAGTTAGTTAGTTAGTTAGTTAGTTAGTTAGTTAGTAGTCAGTTAGTTAGTTAGTTAGTTAGTTTAGTTAGTTAGTTAGTTAGTTAGTTAGTTAGTTAGTTAGTAGTAGTTAGTTAGTAGTTAGTTAGTTAGTTAGTTAGTTAGTTAGTTAGTTAGTTAGTTAGTAGTAGTAGTTAGTTAGTTAGTTAGTTAGTTAGTTAGTTAGTTAGTTAGTTAGTTAGTTAGTAGTAGTAGTAGTTAGTTAGTTAGTAGTTAGTTAGTTAGTTAGTAGTTAGTTAGTTAGTTAGTTAGTTAGTTAGTTAGTTAGTAGTTAGTTAGTTAGTTAGTTAGTTAGTTAGTTAGTTAGTTAGTTAGTTAGTTAGTTAGTTAGTTAGTTAGTTAGTTAGTAGTTCGTTAGTTAGTTAGTTAGTTAGTTAGTTAGTTAGTTAGTTAGTTAGTTAGTTCGTTAGTTAGTTAGTTAGTTAGTTAGTTAGTTTAGTTAGTTAGTTAGTTAGTTAGTTAGTAGTAGTTAGTTAGTAGTTAGTTAAGTTAGTAGTAGTTAGTTAGTTAGTTAGTTAGTTAGTTAGTTAGTTAGTTAGTTAGTTAGTTAGTTAGTTAGTAGTTAGTTAGTTAGTAGTTAGTTAGTTAGTTAGTTAGTTAGTTAGTTAGTAGGTAGTTAGTTAGTTAGTTAGTAGTTAGTTAGTTAGTTAGTTAGTAGTTAGTTAGTTAGTTAGTTAAGTTAGTTAGTTAGTTAGTTAGTTAGTTAGTTAGTTAGTGTTAGTTAGTTAGTTAGTTAGTTAGTTAGTTAGTTAGTTAGTTAGTTAGTTAGTAGTTAGTTAGTTAGTGTTAGTAGTTAGTTAGTTAGTTAGTTAGTAGTTAGTTAGTTAGTTAGTTAGTTAGTTAGTTAGTTAGTTAGTTAGTAGTTAGTAGTTAGTTAGTTAGTTAGTTAGTTAGTTAGTTAGTTAGTTAGTTAGTAGTTAGTTAGTTAGTTAGGTTAGTTAGTTAGTTAGTTAGTTAGTTAGTAGTTAGTTAGTTAGTTAGTTAGTTAGTTAGTTAGTTAGTTAGTTAGTTAGTAGTTAGTTAGTTAGTTAGTTAGTTAGTTAGTTAGTTAGTTAGTTAGTTAGTTAGTTAGTTAGTTAGTTAGTAGTAGTTAGTTAGTTAGTTAGTTAGTTAGTTAGTTAGTTAGTTAGTTAGTTAGTAGTTAGTTAGTTAGTAGTTAGTTAGTTAGTAGTTAGTTAGTTAGTTAGTTAGTTAGTTAGTTAGTTAGTTAGTTAGTTAGTTAGTTAGTTAGTTAGTTAGTTAGTTAGTAGTTAGTTAGTTAGTTAGTTAGTTAGTTAGTTAGTTAGTTAGTTAGTTAGTTAGTTAGTTAGTTAGTTAGTTAGTTAGTTAGTTAGTTAGTTAGTTAGTTAGTTAGTTAGTTAGTTAGTTAGTTAGTTAGTTAGTTAGTTAGTTAGTTAAGTTAGTTAGTTAGTAGTTAGTTAGTTAGTTAGTAGTTAGTTAGTTAGTTAGTTAGTTAGTTAGTTAGTTTAGTTAGTTAGTTAGTTAGTTAGTTAGTTAGTTAGTTTAGTTAGTTAGTTAGTTAGTTAGTTAGTTAGTTAGTTAGTTAGTAGTTAGTTAGTTAGTTAGTTAGTTAGTTAGTTAGTTAGTTAGTTAGGTTAGTTAGTTAGTTAGTTAGTTAGTTAGTTAGTTAGTTAGTTAGTTAGTTAGTTAGTTAGTTAGTTAGTTAGTTAGTTAGTTAGTAGTTAGTTAGTTCCCTTGGTTCGTTACCATGTATATACACCTAGGGACTCCGTTACATTCATCAAATTTGTATATAATTGTTTAGACAAACCTCCCTGGGGCCTACTTTTATACATTTATACGATAAAGATTATGGATCAAATACATAGGACGTCTATTAATGGAAATTAAATCAGAATGTTTGGAAACCGAGTCGAATCATGTAATGACCCTGAAAAAAGTAACACCTCTAGATGAGAAACGTTATTGGCAAGAGCAACAATTTCTTATAGAATTTCTGCCACTACAAGGAGACTTTATACACAGCAGTAACAGTAAAGCTAAAATAGGTCTTAAGTTGGGAGGTAAAAATTTTTAACTAAAACCAAAATTCCATTTACTAACCAATTTTTCTTAATACAGAACACAATTCCACTTCTCTAGAATGCTCTCTGAAAAACTATCCCACACAACAGAAAAATAGACAATATCCTATTAAAATCTTTAAGTATTTTCATCAGCAGTCCCCCTATAAATCTATTACCTTGACAGCTCAACTGCCAGATAATCGTAAAAAATTCGAATGTGATATTCACTTACAGGATATAATGGATGTTCTTAAATCTGAAATAGAATTATTTAAATTATTTCAAATTCAGTATGAGGGGCATCAGCAATCACAAATGAAAGTCTTAAGAGCCATACTTCAGAGCATTATACAAAAAATGGAACAGGTTATAGAGAGTAAAGGATTGGATTGTATTAGTTTTAAGCAGGCCACACAATGGGATATAAATCGTTTGTTGTATTTAAAGGAATATATTGTAAGTTTAAAAGATAAACTATTAAATTAAAGTGTTTTAATGTGTTTTATACAGCATAAAATCCTAGAAGATTTGAAGGCTTTACGTTCCAAACTAAAATCTTCTTTGGGTAATTACACCGCTTTGGTTATTGAAGAAATTGTTGGGGATTTAACAAAAAATTGTCATGAACTGCAAAATTTACTCTCGACTTCTTTACATCAAGATAATTGGCCTGATTTGATACTTGTTTTGTCTGCGGGTAATAAAGAATTAGGATTTTGTAAGATAAATGCCAAGAACTTTTTATATTCCATAAAAACTGCTGAGGAGAGTTGTAACAGTCAGTGTTGGAAACTGAGAAATTTTATTGTTAAGGTGGATTTTTCCTTCAAATTTGTATTCCTTGAAATAATAATGTCATTCCTCCCAGGATACGAAATGCCAACATACCTGCTTTAATTGTGGCTGCACGGTATCTATTATACGTGGTTGTCTTAGTATAGTAGCCGAATCGGAAACTAGTCACTACTTGAGTCAAGTAGTGCAAGATTGGAAACATCCCGAACCATTCTATTGGTCTCCTCATATACCCTGTGTTAACTTCAAATGTAGGCTCTTTATACATCAAGCCAAAATTAAACCAGGTGCAGATCGTAATGGTCTCTGTGATCCCTATATACGTATAATGATTTCACAAAATGCCGCCGAAACTCCCGTAATTTTTAGCACCCTCTCACCCATTTGGAATGCTGTAATATCTTTAGAAAACATACAACTACCGGGAGATTTTCTTTGGTATTTGAGTAATCCCCCCGTGGTAGCAGTAGAAGTCTATGATACTGATCGAAAAACTACCGATGATTATTTGGGTTGTGGCATTCTATCGATGTCGGTGATAAAAAGTGATTGGATTGATTGGTACGCCCGGGAGAATGGGAGTTGGGAAAGTGAAGAGGTGAAGAATAAACATGCTGTACAAAAGTATGAATTGTTAAAGTATTTAACACCGCCACCCTTAAATGGATACCGATAGCTTTGGATGGTTGTGTAAGAGCTGAGGTTTTGATGTCGGGAGAGATGGTGGAATTGCAGGATGTTAAGAAAATCAAAGAAGTTGTAGAAGAAAGCAACGAAGTTAATGTCACGGTGGGCATTCCGAATGCTATTAAGCCGAATATGAACAATTTTGTGTAAGTTGGAAACTATAGCCTAGACTATAGACTAGACTAGGCTAGACTAGACTACACTAAACTAGAATACACTAGACTAGACTATACACTAGACTAGACTATAGACTAGACTATAGACTAGACTAGACTATAGACTAGACTATAGACTAGACTATAGACTAGACTATAGACTAGACTATAGACTAGACTATAGACTAGACTATAGACTAGACTATAGACTAGACTATAGGACTAGACTATAGACTATTAGACTATAGACTAGACTATAGACTAGCTATAGACTAGACTATAGACTAGACTATAGACTAGACTATAGACTAGACTATAGACTAGACTATAGACTAGACTATAGACTAGACTATAGACTAGACTATAGACTAGACTATAGACTAGACTATAGACTAGACTATAGACTAGACTATAGACTAGACTATAGACTAGACTATAGACTAGTCCAGACTAGACTATAGACTAGACTATAGACTAGACTATAGACTAGACTATAGACTAGACTATAGACTAGACTATAGACTAGACTATAGACTAGACTATAGACTAGACTATAGACTAGACTATAGACTAGACTAGACTAGACTAGACTAGACTATAGACTAGACTATAGACTAGACTATAGACTAGACTATAGACTAGACTATAGACTAGACTATAGACTAGACTAGACTATAGACTAGACTAGACTATAGACTAGACTATAGACTAGACTATAGACTAGACTATAGACTAGACTAGACTAGACTAGACTAGACTAGACTAGACTAGACTAGACTAGACTAGACTATAGACTAGACTATAGACTAGACTAGACTATAGACTAGACTATAGACTAGACTAGACTATAGACTAGACTATAGACTAGACTATAGACTAGACTATAGACTAGACTATAGACTAGACTATAGACTAGACTGTAGACTAGACTATAGACTAGACTATAGACTAGACTATAGACTAGACTATAGACTAGACTATAGACTAGATTATAGACTAGACTATAGACTAGACTATAGACTAGACTATAGACTAGACTATAGACTAGACTATAGACTAGACTATAGACTAGACTATAGACTAGACTATAGACTAGACTATAGACTAGACTATAGACTAGACTGTAGACTAGACTAGACTATAGACTAGACTGTAGACTAGACTAGACTATAGACTAGACTATAGACTAGACTGTAGACTAGACTATAGACTAGACTATAGACTAGACTATAGACTAGACTATAGACTAGACTATAGACTAGACTTATAGACTAGACGATAGACTAGACTAGACTAGACTGACTATAGACTAGACTAGACTAGACTATATACTAGACTATAGACTAGACTATAGACTAGACTATAGACTAGGACTATAGACTAGACTATAGACTAGACTATAGGACTAGACTATAGACTAGACTATAGACTAGACTATAGACTAGACTATAGACTAGACTATAGACTAGACTATAGACTAGACTATAGACTAGACTATAGACTAGACTATAGACTAGACTGTAGACTAGACTATAGACTAGACTATAGACTAGACTATAGACTAGACTATAGACTAGACTATAGACTAGACTATAGACTAGATTATAGACTAGACTATAGACTAGACTATAGACTAGACTATAGACTAGACTATAGACTAGACATAGATAGACTAGACTATAGACTCGACTATAGACTAGACTAGAATAGACTAGACTATAGACTAGACTAGACTAGACTATAGACTAGACTAGACTATAGACTAGACTAGACTATAGACTAGACTAGACTAGACTAGACTATAGACTAGACTAGACTATAGACTAGACTAGACTATAGACTAGACTAGACTATAGACTATAGACTATAGACTATAGACTAGACTAGACTATAGACTAGACTAGACTATAGACTAGACTAGACTATAGACCAGACTATAGACTAGACTACAGACTAGACTATAGACTAGACTATAGACTAGACTATAGACTAGACTATAGACTAGACTATAGACTAGACTATAGACTAGACTATAGACTAGACTATAGACTAGACTATAGACTAGACTATATAGACTATAGACTAGACTATAGACTAGACTATAGACTAGACTATAGACTAGACTATAGACTAGACTATAGACTACTAGACTATAGACTAGACTATAGACTAGACTATAGACTAGACTATAGACTAGACTATAGACTAGACTATAGACTAGACTATAGACTAGACTATAGACTAGACTATAGACTAGACTATAGACTAGACTATAGACTAGACTATAGACTAGACTATAGGACTTAGACTATAGGACTATAGCTAGACTATAGACTAGACTATAGAACTAGACTCTAGACTAGACTATAGACTAGACTATAGGGGGGGGGGTACTAGACTATTAGGACTTAGACTATAGACTAGACTATAGCCTAGGACTATAGACTTAGACTATAGACTAGACTATAGACTAGACTATAGACTTAGACTATAGACTAGACTATAGACTTAGACTAGAGTATAGACTAGACTAATAGATAGACTATAGGACTAGTACTAGGAGTATAGACTAGACTATAGACTAGACTATAGACTAGGACTATAGGACTAGAGTATAGACTAGAGTATAGACTAGAACTATAGAGTAGGACTATAGGACTAGACTGTAGTCTGGCCTATAGTCTACTCTATAAGCCCTGGACTATCGTCTACTTTATAGCCAAAACTATTAGTCTACTCTATAATCCAACTTATTAGTTTTCTAGAGTAGCGTCTAGTCTACAGCCTGCAAAAGTGGGTTGATCCTACAGTACACTTTTAAAATTTCTGTTATAGCTTAGAAGTGGTTTTTGCCGGTTTTCGTAACTATCGCAAACATAATTATTTGACCAGTAAGCATCAAGTGAAACTTATGATGGGCGATCTTATACTGACTAGTGGCTTATCGACTTCGCCCATACAAAATAGTTTAAATTTCTTGATTTTATATGCTTCCGGAGTTTTGGTAAGCCTAACTTCTGTTCTGTTATGCAAAACATCCTATAATTCCCATAACAATTACAGAATCTTCCCGAGCAACTGGAATATTGGCCCGCTATTATTGCCACCGATTTAGCCATTTCGAGTAAAGGACAAGAAACTACTTTGGGAGCTACTTTAATAGCCAATTCCAAGCGTTATTTGCAAAAGGAAAATGCCATACCATGTATACACGCAGAAGACGATTTCGAAATGGATTCAGTTTCTACCACCATACAGCTAGAAGAAGAAAGCGAAAATGAGCAGGAACATGAAGCTTCAGACAGCAAACCTTTAATCCATAAAGAATCAAAAAATTCCTATTGGCAAAGTATGTTAAAGAAATTGAAACATAACAATCAAGAAACTAAAGAAAAAGCAGAGGAATTAAACAATTTCCATGAACTTCTCGATGAAAGTGAATATAACTGGTGGACTAAGTTTTACAACTCGGGCTTTATAGAGCCTTGCACAGCATTATCCGATTTTAAGCATAAATTGTGTATCTATCAAAATGAATTGGAAAAACAACCCGAGTTTAGTTACCTAAATGACTGGGCCGAACCGCTTAGCATGGTGCACGGTGTAAGATATAAGAAACATGCTTTACCCAAAGAAGAAATCTATGCTACTCTTAAGCTTCATATCAAAATTACCCCTTGTATATGTGGTCGCTCCCAAGGAGGTGGTGAGGGAGATGGTCAAATGTTAAAACCTTTAGCTACCGCTTTAAATCCTCGCTATCAAGCTCAGTTGCAATCATTAGCCGAATTAGTTAAGATTATGGTAAGAGTGTATATAGTCCAAGGATTACAATTTCGTCCATGTGAAAATAACTCACAAGCTGACTCGTATGTTAAATTGCAATTGGGTCAAAAATATATAACAAATCGTGCGGATTATATACCCAATCAAAGTAATCCTGTATTTGGCAAGTGCTTTCAATTGGAGGGCATGTTACCCAGGTGAGTCAATTTTTATAGTTTTATATAGAAAAAAGACCACACAATATGTATTAATAACATTCGAGAAGAAAGCAACTTGTAAGCAATGTAGCTTATTTAAAACTCACTTGATAAGCAATTTAATTAGATTATTTTTATAGAATAAAATCTTTATTATTATACACATTTAACTTGTGTCAATATTAAGGTGATACCTAATGCAGGGGATACAAATGATATAGGAGCCAGATAATCCAGATAATCCGAGAGTGTGGCCTATAATCCAGTTTATAGTTAATAGTCTAGACAGTATCAAGGTCTATCGACAGGTCTACAGTCTGGACTATATTCCAGTCTATAGTCCGGACTATAGTCAAGTCAACAGCCTGAACTATAGTCCAGTATAAAGTCCGGACTATAGTATGGACTGTAGTCGAGTCTATTGTATGTGCTACAATCTATACTATAGTCCATTCTATAGTCTGGACTATAGTCGAGTATGTTGTCTCTATACTATAGTCGAGTCTATAGTCCATATAGTCTGGACTATAGTCGAGTTTGTAGTCTGGACTACAAACTGTAGTCTGCACTATAGTCGAGTTTGTAGTATGGACTATAGTGGAGTCTATAGACTAGACAATAGTCGAGACTGTATTCTTGAGTATATAAAGTCTGGACTATAGTAGGGTCTATATTCTGGACTATAGTCGAGTATATAGTCTAGAATATAGTAGAGTCTATTGTCTGGATTATAGTCTCGTATATAGTTTTTTCTATATTCTAGTCTGGACTGTAGTCTATAGTCGGAACTATAGCTAAGTCTAGCCTATAGTCTAGACTACAGTCTGAACTACAGTCTATAGTATGGACTATAGTCTAGTCTATAGTATGGACTATAGTTTAGTCTATAGTGAGGACTATAGTCTAGTCTATAGTGAGGACTATAGTCTAGTTTAGTCTGTAGTCTGCACTATAGTCCTACGGTCGAGTCTATAGTATGTACCATAGTCTATAGTCCATAGTCTGAATTATGGACTTTGCTATAGTCTGGATTATGAGCTGAACTATTCTCTTGTCTATAGTCTTGTAGTAATCGATAGTCCGAACTATAGTCTAGACTACAGTCCAGTTGTAGTTTTCACTTTAATCTGGGCTATAATATAATCTATGATCTAATGTAGTCTACAGTTAGGACTGCAGTATAATCTGGTACATAATATAGTCTATAGTCCTAAGCTGTAGAATAGATTAAACGCGAAGCCATTTATTGTCCAGTTTATAGTCTAGCGCTATAATATCGACCTTAGTCTGGATTTTAGTCTATAATACAATGTGCTGTACTGAAAAGCAAAGTCATTAAGAAACTATTTTTACTTTAGTAAAAATAGTTATGCACTGGACTGTAGTTTATAGTCTGAATTATGGTCTTAAGCATTTAGTATACATGCAGTGCCTTTAATTTAGTTTTTCTTTTTCGGTAGCGTGTACCTAATCAGCGCTATTTCTGAAAAAGTACTTAGAGTCAAATTTAAAATCGAAACGTTTTGTAAAATCTAAGATAAGTACCATCCTAATAACAATTAAATCTCTTCAATTGTAAAATAATTTCTTTGGTTTTCCCAGTTTAAGTGCATTGAAAGTTATTTTTAGATCAATTCAAATATTTACAAGGACACCAGATTTTTAGAAACATTTCACAACATTGAACACTTTTACATGGCGATTTTGAAATATTTTGAAGAGGAATTGACTTACTAGACATCTAACAGAGAGAGAGAAGTGTAAAAGCATTTCAGAAATCATGATAAGAATTTTGACTTTGGTCGCCCTTTAAATGTTATGGTTAAACTTCTAAAGTTTGAAAGTGTAAATGCATTTCAGAAATCATGATAAGAATTTTGACTTTGGTCGCCCTTTAAATGTTATGGTTAAACTTCTAAAGTTTGAAATTATTACAAAATATTTCAAGAATCATTGATAAACGATGGAACTAGAATTGTAATAGATAAATGATTCTATATGTACGGCCCGAATATTAGTGAAACTTATAGCAACTTTAAAAGCTTTTTACTTTATATGATTTTATAAAATGTGTGGAAACATGTCCGTCCATTAATTTAGATTCAATCTCAAAATTTTAAACATTTATTCCTTAAGATTTACTTCCCTTCTTTCTTTTAATAAAACCACCCAATGTGGCATCTCGGTTGAAAAAAATCTCAGAACAATAATAGTAAAAAAACAAGTGAGAGTGTTATATTCGGCTGTGCCGAATCTTATATACCCATCAACAAAACGTTTGCCGTAAAAGGAATGCTCCCCTATAAACATCAGATTGATATTTGGAATATGGTTTAAGTCAATTATGTACCGAGCTCTTTTGAACTAACAGAATATTAATTGTGTGTCGAATTTCATCGATTAACTCGCATTTTTAAGCCAGTAATAAGCGTTAAAGTAATTTTCTGAAGGGTATCTTACATAAAGGCCTTACAAAAAGTACTTTTTGAAGAACGAATAATACCTTTATAGGTTCTCACTTAATCCGGGCTCTATATACTTAATTTTTGTCTGAGCATGAACGATAAATCTCAATTTTTGATGAAATTTTCAGAGATTGTCTCGGATTTTTGCTCATATCTTCGTAATTTATGCACCGATATTGCTGATTTAAATAGCGTTTTTCCTGGACGTATGTCCATTATTAAAGATTCTAATCTTTTAACATACAGGCATACCCGGGCGCATGTTACCTTGATGAGAGACCCCATCTTGGTGTAATTGCAATCGCGGGGAAATACCTCTAGTCTGCCGGGACTATAAACTGGTAATGATCAAATGTATCCTTGGTCTTTCCTTGGTATGATTTGAAATGGAGTCGAACCAGAGAGCCACATAATCTGGTACTACGGGTGGCTAGTTGCCCTCAGTTGCTTGAGGTTCCCTCGTGCTCCACGTAGTGGCTGTGGTTAAACCCCAAATTTGTGGGAAGAGAATGACAGTTAAAGGGCTGATGCACGGTGAAATCTATAATTCGGAATAAGTTCGGTATTGTTGCCGAATGACAATAGAAATGAGTTGGTGGTAAATATATATGATACAGGATAAATGTAGAGGTATACGGATCTCATCCTCCCGTATACCTGGAGTGAGTATTTCGGATATTGTTCTATATAAAAGTGTCGGATTAATGAGAAGTGTAGTGATAGATGAAAGGTATCTTATACAAGTGATACCACTGATACAAAGAGGCGTTAATGAGTCGCCTCATAAGCTCACCCTGTGGGTGAAAAAGACCACCGGGAAATAAGGCAGGAGTTCACGTAAAGCTCTTCGACGTTCATACACAGACAGACGGACATGACTAAATCGACTTCGCTATCTATAAGGACCCAGAATATATATATACTTTATAGGGTCGGAAAATTATATTACAGAAGAATTAGAGTCTATAGTCTGGACTATAGTCGAATCTGTAGTTTGGACTATAGTCAAGTTTATGCTCTAGACTATAGTCGAGTCTATACTCTGGACTATAGTCAAGTCTATAATCTGTTCTGTAGTCGAGCCTATAGTGTGGACTATAGTCGTGTCGATAGTCTGGACAACAGTATAGTCTATAGTCTGGACTATAGTCGAATCTATAGTTTGGGCTATATTCTAGCCTATACTACGGTTTAGTCTAGTCTATAGTCTGGACTATAGTCTATTCTAAAGTCTGGACTATAGTCTATTCTAAAGTCTGTACTATAGTCAAATCTATAGTTTTGACTGTAGTCAAGTCTATAGTTTGGACTATAGTTGGGCCTATAGTATGGACTATAGTCGTGTTAATAGTCTGGACAACAGTCTATTCTATAGTCTGGACTATAGTCGAATCTATAGTTTGGGCTATATTCTAGTCAATACTACGGTTTAGTCTAGTCTATAGTCTGGACTATAGTTGGGCTTATATTCAGGACTATAGACGAGTATATAGTCGAATCTATAGTCTGAACAATTGTCCAGTCTATAGTCTTAACTATAGTCTAATCTACAGTCTACTCTATAGTCTGAACTACAGTCATAGTCTAGTCTGAACTATGGACCATGCTATAGTCTGGATTGTGTGCTGAACTATTATCTTGTCTAAACTGGATTGTAGTCTTGTCCTTACACTAATTGATAGTCCGAACTATAGGCTAAACTATAAACCAGTTATAGTTTTCACTTTATGCTATACGCACAATTGGGACGAACGACGAATTTTTCTGAATGAATATTCGTCGTCAGAAATAGAACACACTTGGCTATATGAAATGTACACAATCATTGCGTATGACGAAATTCGTCGTACGTAACGAACTATGCGATAGGTTTATTTCTATTTCTTACGCAGACGAACGACGAATTAATTGGGGAAAATTGTTTTAAGACCAATTCCGGTAGCCCTAATTTGCTGAAATTTTGCGGTTGTGGGTACAGCTAATGACAATAAAATATTATGTTCGAATATTCGAAATTATATTCGAAAATTCGAAGTTATGTTCGAAAAATGTTTTATGCTCTTAAAATAATCTCTGGGTCATAAAAACTAAAAATAAAATTTTCGAAAATTCGAACTTAAGTTCGAAAAATTTTTAAAGCCATTAAAACTAGTTCTCGTGGCCCGAATTGTCTGAAATTTGGCAATCTGGAGTACACTTGATGACACTACAATTCTATGTTGGAATATTTAAAATTAAGTTCGAAATTTCGAAGTAATGTTCGAAAAAATTTTGAAGCTGTTAAAATAATCTCAAAATTGGAGATATTTACAAAAATATAATTTTAGTTCTTTTCGAGGCCAATTTCTTACATTTTCTAATTTCGAAATAATGTTCGAATAAATTTTAAAGCTGTTAAAATTATCTCAAAATCGTGGAGATTCAGAAAAATATAATTTTTGTTCCTTTTTCTTACTTTTTCCAATTTCGAACAAACAAATTTTGAAACGAATTCGCAGTACGAATAATTTGATTGTGTTCCATTCGACGAATTTACGCAACGAATTTTTGTCGATTAGTTCGTCGTGCTATACGAAATTCGTCGTTCGTCCCAATTGTGCGTATACCATTAATCTGGGCTTTAATATAGTCTATGATTTACTCTAGAATACAGTTTTGACTACAGTAAAGTCTGGTATATGATATAGTCTATAGTCCAAACTGAAACGCGAAGCCAATAAGACAATAGTATGAATTATGATCTCGTGGTCCCACTTAAACTTTTGCCAAATCTGTTTCGTCGTGGAAACAATCGGAAGATAAGTATCATCCTAATAACAATTGAATCTCTTCAATTGTAAGATAATTTCTTTGGTTATCTCAGTTCAAGTGCATTGAAGGTTATTTTTAGATCAATTAAAATATATACAAGGACACCAGATTTTTAGAAATATTCCACAACATTTAACACGTTTACATGGCAATTTGGAAATATGTTGAATAGAAATTGACTTACTAGACAGCTAACATAGATATTGACATCAGGTAGAAACAGGGAGAGAAATCGAAATCGAATTCCGAAATCTCGATATTCTGACTTTGGGCGACCCTTTAAATGTTATGGTTAAACTTCTAAACTTTGAAATTATTACAAAATATTTCAAGAATAATTGATAAACGATAGAACTAGAATAGTAATATTATGATTCTATGTTTACGGTCCGAATATTAATGAAGCTTACAGCAGCTTTAAAAGCTTTAAGCTGTATTTATAATAAGGTTATATGATTTTATTAAATGTGTGTAAACATGTCCGTGCATTAATTTAGATTTAATCCCAAAATTTCAAACATTAATTCCCAAAGATTTACTTCCCTTGTTTCTTTTTAATAAAACAACTCAATGTGGCATCTCGGTTGAAAAAAAATTCTCAGAGCAATAATAATAAAAAAAACCATAAATCCAAACTAAAGCTTGAATAAAAATCTAAATATAAATATACAAAAGATCAAGAACATAAATTTAGTCGTCTTTTAAACGTTGAACACTCAATTTGATAATCTTCAACACTAGAGTAAACAAATACAACAATGACGAGATCGGTGATAAATTATACACATTTGTTAGGGATCGTTTTAAGTCTCATGCCATGTTGCTGGACATATGAAGTGCCTAAAGCCACAATTAAAGTATTCTATCCCAAAGGTTTTGAGGTGTCCATACCAGATGAAGAGGGTATAACATTGTTTGCCTTTCATGGCAAATTAAATGAAGAAATGGAAGGTTTGGAGGCAGGAACTTGGGCTGTTGATATTGTAAAGCCCAAAAATGGACGTTGGATATTTAGGGATCGCATTACTCAGCTTAAATTTGGTGATACCTTGTATTACTGGACCTATGTTATCTACAATGGTTTGGGCTATCGTGAAGATAATGGTGTGTATGTGGTGCAGCAGTATGCTAATACAACAGCAACAACAACTACTACTACAGCTGTAACGGATATACCAACAAAAACCACTACCTGTAGTTCAGCGGTGACCATGGTTAATGGAGCTCCAGCACTCTGTAGTGGTCAAATTATATTTAAAGAAAATTTCGAAGGCCATAGATTAGATTCTAACCACTGGTCCCTAGAGAGACGTATACCTCAACAACCCGACTATGAATTCAATATGTATCTGGATGATGTGTCAGATGTTTTGCAAGTAGACGGTGGTATGTTGACCATTAAACCCAAACCCACCAGTCAACATTATCATGCTGATGTTCTTAAGAAAACCTTTTCGTTGGGTTCAAAATGCACCGGTAAATTGGATACAGATGAGTGTGTGTTTCATCCTAAAACGCAAAATAAATTAAATCCCTTGATAACGGCGCAAATCACTACTAAAGGTAAATTTTCTTTTAAATATGGCAAAGTAGAGATAAAAGCTAAAATGCCTGGCGCCATGTGGGTGTATCCACAACTATGGCTAGAGCCCTCAAAGCACACTTACGGTACAAGTGAATATCATTCGGGACAAATGCGTGTGGCTCATACTATAGCCAATGGAGAAGAGGTAATGCTGCATGGTGGTTTGCTCTTAAATGCCAATGAACCCTGGCGTTCGGCAAAAATGTGCGAATATCAATTTAAACAACTTAATTTAACGCATGACTTTCATTTATACGAACTAATCTGGACCCCAGATTCAATCACTGTAGCGGTAGATGGTCAAGAATATTGTTGCATCAAAATTACCGATGACAAACAAGCCTTTAAAAATCTTCATTTAAATAACCAGTATTTACCAAATCAGGATCTTTTGAATGCTGGTTCCAATTGGGCTCCTTTTGATGAGGAATTCCATTTGACCTTGGGCTATGGCATTGGCGGTAATAATGTCTTTAAAGATGAGTTCCACTGGAAAGAGGAAAAGCCCTGGCCTAATACTGATCCTCGTTCGAAGAATAAATTTTGGAAAAAAATTTCCAACAATTTGAATTGGTTAAGTAATGGTGATTTGCGAGTGGATTTTGTTAAAGTATATGCCGTGTGATTAAGATCAAAATTTTGTTAATTGATTTAATTTTTTTTTAATATTTTTACTAATAAAAAATATGTGATAAAAATATTTATTGTTTCTTTTAAAAGAATAGCATCTGTATGGGTGAACGAAAAAAGAAATAACATGTTCCCACGACAACGTTTATTACTTGATTCGTGTTTTGAATTACTATTTTGTTATTACTCTGTTCACACGACTCATTGGTAATTCAATTTGACACCATTATATTGGGGAGGGTATTATGGGTTTGTGTGTTTGTAATGCATAGAAATATTGGGTCTACACCAAACCAATCGATTCAGAATTATTTTCTGAATCGATTTAGCGATATCTATCTGTGCGTCCAAAGATAAGATCGCAATTTTCAAGATAATTTGATAAAATTTGACATATATATATATATATATATATATATATATATATATATATATATATATATATATATATATATATATATATATATATATATATATATATATATATATATATATATATATATATATATATATATTTCTTTTAACCAAAGGATGAAGCCTACTGGTATCGTGGGAACATGGTATAAGAAACCAGAGTCCAAAAAAAATTTACTTTAAATTATTAATTCTTTTTTTTTTTTTGCTTCCATTCTAAGCTTAAGGATACAGTATCAATCTTCATATAAAACCGGATTATAAATATTTTATAAGATATATACAATGTTTAATAGACAACAAAGAGAATGACGATTTTAAGAAATAAAATTACATACATATACATATGTATGTATGTGCATAACACTTCTCGTCTCAGTGATGCGTATAAAAACGCCAAGATAATAATCAAATTTTTTAAAACTGGAATTTATTTAAACACAGTTAAACTAATTAAAAAACAAATAACAATATTTAGTAAGGCAAATACGGCTATATGATACCCATACTGGAGATCTATTATGACATATAAGAGCTTAGTTCGATTTGAGATATTTTTCAGTCCTTAATGCCGGAAAAAGGTCTAATATATGTATGTATAAGCATAAATATATTACCCCGAATGATCGCATGTATCAGATACATAATATTTTTGTTGGAAAAAATTTAAATATATAGCCCACGCCATTTATAGAACAAAGAAATTTAAATCCCTCTGATAAGAAAATTTTTAATAAATTTGTGGCAAAAATAAAAAAGCGCATATCTCAAGTTATGCAAAAATTATGTTTTCACACTTTTACAATATTCGTACGGAATTGTAAATGTAAATTTCTCATAAATATCAGATCAGAAGTTTTCAACATACCGAATTTTTCAAATGTGTTTTACTATAGTTTTGTATTTGAATTTAAAACTGTAAAACATTCTCCTGAAAAGTACAAAAAATAACTTAAGTACTTTTGCCTTTTTACCACAGAAATATTGCAGCTTCCCCTACAACGAGATAAATTTTAAATTTTATAGTTTTTAGTCACAACTCAAGCAATAAACAATTTATTTGAAACTTGTTGTAAAGTATCCGTAAAGGTCAAAATGCAAAGATCTTTATGTATTAATTTGAAGTGGATATTTTTATATAAAGTGACCAGAGGGGGCGGAAGAGGCGGGACGAAAAGGCGGGAGGGGAAAGAGGGGAAGGGGAGAAAAAGAAGCGGAGAGAAAAGGGGAACGGAAGAAAACGCAACGAACGAAACGAACGAACGAAAGAACGAACGAACGAACGAACGAACGAACGAACGAACGAACGAACGAACGAACGAACGAACGAACGAACGAAGAAGAACGAACGAACGAACGAACGAACGAACGAACGAACGAACGAACGAACGAACGAACGAAAGGACGAAGAACGAACGACGACGAACGAACTAACGAAACGAACGAACGAACGAAACGAACGAACGAAAACGAACGAACGAACGAACGAACGAACGAACGAACGAACGAACGAACGAACGAACGAACGAACGAACGAACGAACGAAACGAACGAACGAACGAACGAACGAACGAACGAACGAACGAACGAACGAACGAACGAACGAACGAACGAACGAACGAAAGAACGAACGAAACGAACGAACGAACGAACGAACGAACGAACGAAAGAACGAACGAACGAACGAAAAACGAAACGAACGAACAACGAACGAACGAACGAACGAACGAACGAACGAACGAACGAACGAACGAACGAAAAAACGAACGAACGAACGAACGAACGAAAACGAACGAAACGAACGAAAGAACGAACGAACGAACGAACGAACGAAAACGAACGAACGAACGAAAACGACGAACGAACGAACGAACGAACGAACGACGAACGAACGAACGAAACGAACGAACGAACGAACGAACGAACGAACGAACGAACAAACGAACGAACGAACGAAGAACGAACGAACGAACGAACGACGAACGAACGAACGAAAGAACGAACGACGAACGAACGAACTAACGAACGAACGAAGAACGAACGAACGAAACTAACGAACGAACGAACGAACGAACGAACGAACGAAGAGAAACGAACGAACGAACGAACTAACGAACGAACGAACGAACGAACTAACGAAACGAAAACTAACTAACGAAGAAACGAAGAACGAACGAACTAACGAACTAACTAACTAACTAACGAACTAACTAACTAACTAACTAACTAACTAACTAACTAACTAACTAACTAACTAACTAACTAACTAACTAAATAACTAACTAACTAAACAAGTTAGAACTTATAGTCGGGCATGACCGACCTTATGCTACCCTACACCAGCGAGTTTGTTACAAACTTTGATTATTTTTAAGAAGTATTTTACAATTAGTTGACAAAAAAAGGATAATTCCGGTTGATGGTTTTATATCTACATCAGTTATTTATACAGAATATTATCGTGATATTAGTGTTATAAGTGAATTTTGGCCATCAAGTCATTTTCTGAAGATTTTGAATGGGGGATTTGGTCATATGAGGCCTGATCATTAAGACTTATATAAAACTAAGTTATGCTGGTTTTTAAAGTAATACAAGAACCAAAGAATAAATACAAGAACATTTAATATATTTATGAGTTCAAAAGCCCTATTCAAGGTTTACATGGACACACAGACGGACGGACGCGCAGATAGCTAAATCGACTCAGAAAGTGATTCTGAGCCCATTGGAATAATTTAAGGTGGGTGTAGGACCAATATTTTTGGGTGTTACACACATCAGCACAAACGCATAATACACTTCTCACTATAGTGGTGTAGGGTATAAAAACACGCGTTTGCATATTTGGTTTCCCTCAATATCACACTACTTATTTTATGAACTTTTCTAATTCTGAATGAAAAAAGGTTTAGCAAAAAAGTCATGTTCGAGATATACAATTTATTACAAATTCATTTCAGTTATTATTAAAATACAAATAAATTTATAAATGTTATTGTTCTTTGTAAAAATAAGTAATACAAAAAACAAATAATTTTTTTTTTTAATTACAAAGTTTGCTGATTATTTTATTTAAAGATTGTGAATATAGAATTTAAGATTTTTAGAAATTAAAAAAAAAAAATACTAAAAAGTTGAAAATTTTATTTATTCAAACCATTTCGTTAAATAATTTTATTTGTTTTATAGAGAACACATTTTGGAAGTTTCGGTATTTAATCGCAGAGATATTAAAGATGAGACCATTGGCTCCACCTTCATAGATTTGGAAGATAGATGGCGCTCTAAACATAGAGCTACTGTGGGAATTGCAAATGAATATTGTAGGTAAGTTAGGACTAACTATAACTAACAAGAAAAGTTCCCTATACGAAAAAATCCCTAACAGAATTATCACAGAAAATTATATATTTTTTTCAATTTAAGCTCTGGTTACAACCGATGGCACGATTACATGTTGCCCTCCGAAATTTTAAATGAATTGTGTAAGAATAATGATCTTAGACCACCTAAGGTAGTGGGGAATATGATAGAAGTGGATGGTGTGGCATTTGAAGATGAAACAGACATTGCAACGGGTGAGAAAAAATTTTCTCTCTTCAAATTTTATGCATAAGATAATAACTAGAACTAAATAATAACAATAACTAAAGATACTAACTATTAAACTAATTTTGCGCTAGGCCCTAGACTACAGACTAGAATACATACCAGCCTAAATACAATACTATAGACTAGACAATAAAATAAACTATAGACTACTAGAATATACTATAGACTGGACTACAGACTGGACTACTAGACTACACTATAGACTAGACTATAGACTAGACTATAGACTAGACTATAGACTAGACTATAGACTAGACTATAGACTAGACTAAAGACTAGACTATAGACTAGACTATAGACTAGACTATAGACTAGACTATAGACTAGACTATAGACTAGACTATAGAATAGACTATAGACTAGACTATAGACTAGACCATAGACTAGACTATAGACTAGACTACTAGACTAATAGACTAGGACTATAGACTAGACTATAGACTAGACTATAGACTAGACTATAGACTAGACTATAGACTAGACTATAGACTAGACTATAGACTAGACTATAGACTAGACTATAGACTAGACTATAGACTAGACTAGTAGACTAGACTAGACTAGACTAGAAAGACTAGGACTATAGACTAGACTAGAACTAGACTATAGACTAGACTATAGACTAGACTATAGACTAGACTATAGACTAGACTATAGACTAGACTATAGAACTAGACTATAGACTAGACTATAGACTAGACTAGCTAAGACGAAGACTATAGACTAGACTATAGACTTAGACTATAGACTAGACTATAGACTAGACTATAGACTAGACTATAGACTAGACTATAGACTAGACTATAGACTAGACTATAGGACTAGACTATAGACTAGACTATAGACTAGACTATAGACTAGACTATAGACTAGGACTATAGACTAGACTATAGACTAGACTATAGACTAGACTATAGACTAGACTATAGACTAGACTATAGACTAGACTATAGACTAGACTAGATAGACTAGACTATAGACTAGACTATAGACTAGACTATAGACTACACTGTAGACTAGACTATAGACTAGACTATAGACTAGACTATAGACTAGACTATAGACTAGACTATAGACTAACTATAGACTAGACTGTAGACTAACTATAGACTAGACTATAGACTAGACTATAGACTAGACTATAGACTAGACTATAGACTAGACTATAGACTAGACTATAGACTAGACTATAGACTAGACTATAGACTAGACTATAGACTAGACTATAGATAGACTATAGACTAGACTATAGACTAGACTATAGACTAGACTATAGACTAGACTATAGACTAGACTATAGACTAGACTATAGACTAGACTATAGACTAGGCTATAGACTAGACTATAGACTAGACTATAGACTAGACTATAGACTAGACTATAGACTAGACTATAGACTAGACTATAGACTAGATATAGACTAGACTATAGACTAGACTATAGACAGACTATAGACTAGACTATAGACTAGACTATAGACTAGACTATAGACTAGACTATAGACTAGACTATAGACTAGACTATAGACTAGACTATAGACTAGACTATAGACTAGACTATAGACTAGACTATAGACTAGACTATAGACTAGACTATAGACTAGACTATAGACTAGACTATAGACTAGACTATAGACTAGACTATAGACTAGACTATAGACTAGACTATAGACTAGACTATAGACTAGACTATAGACTAGACTATAGACTAGACTATAGACTAGACTATAGACTAGACTATAGACTAGACTATAGACTAGACTATAGACTAGACTATAGACTAGACCTAGACTAGATTGGACTAGACTAGACTAGACTATACACTAGACTATAGACTAGACTATAGACTAGACTATAGACTAGCTATAGACTAGACTATAGACTAGACTATACACTAGGACTATAGACTAGACTATAGACTAGACTATAGACTAGACTATAGACTAGACTATAGACTAGACTATACTATACTATAGACTATACTATAGACTATACTATAGACTAGACTATAGACTAGACTATAGACTAGACTATAGACTAGACTATAGACTAGACTATAGACTAGACTATAGACTAGACTATAGACTAGACGTTGGACTAGACCATAGACTAGACTATACACTAGACTATAGACTAGGACTATAGACTAGACTATAGACTAGACTATAGACTAGACTATAGACTAGACTATAGACTAGACTATAGACTAGACTATAGACTAGACTATAGACTAGACTATAGACTAGACTATAGACTAGACTATAGACTAGACTATAGACTAGACTATAGACTAGACTATAGACTAGACTATAGACTAGACTATAGACTAGACTATAGACTAGACTATAGACTAGACTATAGACTAGACTATAGACTAGACTATAGACTAGACGTTGGACTAGACCATAGACTAGACTATACACTAGACTATAGACTAGACTATAGACTAGACTATACACTAGGCTATGACTATACACTAGCTATACACTAGGCTATAGACTAGACTATACACTAGACTATACACTAGACTATACACTAGACTATAGACTATACTATAGACTATACTATAGACTATACTATAGACTATACTATAGACTAGACTATAGACTAGACTATAGACTAGACTATAGACTAGACTATAGACTGGACTATAGAGTAGACCAGCGGTTCCCACCGATTTTTACTTCGCGGACCCCTTGAAGAACTTATTTAATTTCGCGGACCCCCATACATATTTTGATATTCTATTGTTCTAAATAATTGTCCATCCGAAAATTGACCTAATAAATGTAGAGATGTCATATCTTTAAAATATTCCGTACATTGAGAATATATAATGTTTCAAATAGGTTTTCAATAGCATGTTTTGAAGATAGAATGACTTCTTTGTTGATATGTTAACATGATGTTTCATTTTATGATCGTGAGATCTTTCATGTTCATTTTTCTTCAAGGTAGCGAAAAGGTTTCTTTATCAAATATTGTCACATGTGCTTAAGGAGTCACGTTTCAAAAATTTGTTGCGATTGCAAAGGGTGAACTGAGTAAGTGAGCTAAGTTTTCGGGAAAATAATATAAGAAAGTTGGGACTTCTTCTATGTTGTTGCGGAATGCGTTATCCGCATAATATATGATTTGAACTCATTGTTAAAGTACTGTGAATTTGGAGCTTAAATTTGAATTTTAAAATACCAACGAATTATTTTACTTCATGGTTTTTGGCTACATATTTACGCGAAACGCTATGGATTTTTTGATGTTAATTTAATAATATGTATTGGTCGACAAAATCAAGTTAAATCTGTGTATCACGTCGGATTGGAATATTTATAAAGAGATGCATAAAGAGTCACCTCTGTTTTGAAAATATATAATTTTAGTCCTTTCAAACAATAATAAGCTTGTCTTTGAATTGAACTTCATACTCCGGAATACCAGTATCCCTAATTTAATTGTAAGGCAGAGTATTATTTGTCTGAAATAAAAACCATTATTTTAGTACATATACAGGAAATAAAAATTACAAATCACGCAATACTTTACTTTATAAAAGTTATACAATAAATTTGTAGGGCCTAGCTTCTTCCTGATAAACAACCGAAAAAATAAAATTCAAAAAGTCACCAAAAAATTTGGGATTATTGCACAAAAATTGGAGATATTTGTACATACATATAAAAGAATATTGTTTATTTATGTTTTTGTTCGTTCCTCTTCGCGGACCCCCTAGGATTTTACTACGGACCACTAGGGGTCCGCGGACCCCCATTTGGGAACCGTTGGACTAGACTATAGACTAGACTATAGACTAGACTAGACTAAATTATAGACTAGACTATAGGCTAGACTATAGACTAGACTATAGACTAGACTATAGACTAGACTATAGACTAGACTATAGACTAGACTATAGACTAGACTATAGACTAGACTATAGACTAGACTATAGACTAGACTATAGACTAGACTATAGACTAGACTATAGACTAGACTAGACTAGACTATAGACTAGACTAGACGATAGACTAGACGACTATAGACTAGACTATAGACTAGACTATAGACTAGACTATAGACTAGACTATAGACTAGACTATAGACTAGACTATAGACTAGACTATAGACTAGACTATAGACTAGACTATAGACTAGACTATAGACTAGACTATAGACTAGACTATAGACTAGACTATAGACTAGACTATAGACTAGACTATAGACTAGACTATAGACTAGACTATAGACTAGACTATAGACTAGACTATAGACTAGACTATAGACTAGACTATAGACTAGACTATAGACTAGACTATAGACTAGACTATAGACTAGACTATAGACTAGACTATAGACTAGACTATAGACTAGACTATAGACTAGACTATAGACTAGACTATAGACTAGACTATAGACTAGACTATAGACTAGACTATAGACTAGACTATAGACTAGACTATAGACTAGACTATAGACTAGACTATAGACTAGACTATAGACTAGACTATAGACTAGACTATAGACTAGACTATAGACTAGACTATAGACTAGACTATAGACTAGACTATAGACTAGACTATAGACTAGACTATAGACTAGACTATAGACTAGACTATAGACTAGACTATAGACTAGACTATAGACTAGACTATAGACTAGACTATAGACTAGACTATAGACTAGACTATAGACTAGACTATAGACTAGACTATAGACTAGACTATAGACTAGACTATAGACTAGACTATAGACTAGACTATAGACTAGACTATAGACTAGACTATAGACTAGACTATAGACTAGACTATAGACTAGACTATAGACTAGACTATAGACTAGACTATAGACTAGACTATAGACTAGACTATAGACTAGACTATAGACTAGACTATAGACTAGACTATAGACTAGACTATAGACTAGACTATAGACTAGACTATAGACTAGACTATAGACTAGACTATAGACTAGACTATAGACTAGACTATAGACTAGACTATAGACTAGACTAAAGACTAACCTAACCTAAGTTTTTCCTAGATTGCACTAGTACTTCTTTCAATCACCACCACTGTACAATGTGAATGTACTTATAAGTAAATTATACCTTATTTAACAATATTAACATCTTCTTTAAAATCATATTTACAGTTTCCACTTACTTTAATTATAACTACCATTAAGCCCACAGTTAGAAAAACACCCACACTATAATTTCTTTCTCTCTTTTTCCCCACCTCCCTTAGCTGAAGATTTACAGGAACGTTTATCCTTAACTGTCCTAAGAAATTTTCAACATTTACCCTCCTTTGGTTATAAACTTGTGCCACAACATGTTGAAACACGATCTTTATATCGTAATGAATGTCCAGGTATTGAACAGGTAAATTACCAACAACTACAAAAAAGCAAGTTGTTAAGTTATAAAACTTGTATAATTTTAACTTTACAAATTAACCTTTTGTTAATAATAAATTGAAAAATTATATAAAATCAAAGGGTAAAATACAACTCTGGATAGAATTATACGATGGTAATCTAAATATACCGCCACCCATAGACATAACACCGCAGCCACCACAAATCTATGAACTGCGTGTCATAATTCATAATGTTACTGAAGTAGTTTTGCAAGAAAAGAATATCTTCGGTACTGCTATGAGTGATATTTATATCAAGGGGTGAGTAAGTTTCGAAAAGAAATATGAAAAATTGAATTTTAATTATTTTGTGGTTAACAAAATAATGATTGAAAATGCGCGTTTTATTATTATAATTTTTTGTTTGTTTTTGTTTAGTTGGTGCAGCAATTTTGATGAATCTCAAAATACAGATATCCATTACCGTTCCATTAATGGTGAAGGCAATTTTAATTGGCGCATGTTATTCCCTTTAAAATATTCAAATAATGAAGACATGGTTAGTAAGTAATGTTGTAGTCCATTAGAAATAGTAGTATTGACTCCAATTTACAAACAATTTTTAAGGTTTTATTTACATTTTCATTTAAATGAATAACGGTTGTTATTATTAATTTTAATTGAATTTGTTTTTGTTACGAAATCACAACGATTGATTGCAAATAATTATGTGTTAATTAGTAAAAAACATTGGTGTTCAATATCATGCATCTGCAATGGATTCATTTCGAAAATTAAATATTTTTTGAAGTAAAAATAAAACCTACTAGAACTTTGTATAACAAATTTTAAGAAATTATTTCTTAAGATTAAATTATTTCATTAACATTGGGAGGTTTTATAATCAAGAAACAGAAATGAAGATATGAAAAACACTCAAGAAAAAATGGTTATAAATACATTTTAATCCAGAACACCATAGCCCAGAAAACGACTAAGTAAATCTGGACCAGAGTCTATTATCAACAGTCGACATAGACTATAGCTATAGTATATAATATGAGGTCAATAAACTAAGTAGTCTGTAACGAATTGCCTGATTAGACTATTGTTGATAGCCTGAGAAATATATAGTCAGTAGTCAATCTGTTAGAATATCCTCTAGTCCATAGTCGGAGAAAACAATACTCCATAGCCTGAGTATAATATAATCAGTAATCGGAGTTGACTACACTCAATAGTTTGTGTAGATCTGATCTGACTATAAGTAGCCCATAATCTGGGTAGACCTTTAATCCATAGTCTGTATAAACTATAGTCAATTACCTGAGTACACTATAGCCACCAGTTTCGAATACTACAGCCAATAATAATAGTATAGACTATAGTCAATTGTATAAGTAGACCATAGGTCAAAATTTGAGCAGACTATAGTGCAAAGTCTATGTACTCATACTATAGTCCATAGCCTGAATACACTATAGTCAATAGTTTGTGTATACATAGCCAATAGTCATAGTATAGTATAACATGACTATTGGCTGAGAAGCAGAAATGCAAGCCGCGCCGCAGCCGACTTCATTCGGCTCAAAAGCTTAAGCCGGCTTAAACGTAGCCGCTGATATAGTCTGAATACAGTCCATTGTCTTATTAAATTATAGTCTACATGAAAACTGTCTTAACAAGACACATTCTATACGAAAACTGTCTTAACAGACAGTCTTAACAAGACACTTTTCTATATGAAAACTGTCTTAACAAGACACTTTTCTATATGAAAATTGTCTTAACAAAACAATTTTCTATAAGAAAACTGTCTTAACAAGACAATTTTCTATAAGAAAACTGTCTTAACAAGACACTTTTCTATAAGAAAACTGTCTTAATAAGAGACTTTTCTATAAGAAAACTGTCTTAACAAGACACTTTTTTATAAGAAAACTATCTTAACAAGACTCTTTTCTATAAGAAAACTGTCTTAACAAGACACTTTTCTAAAAGAAAACTGTCATAACAAAGCACTTTTCTAAAAGAAAACTGTCTTAACAAGACACTTTTCTAAAAGAAAACTGTCTTAACAAGACACTTTTCTATATGAAAACTATCTTAACAAAACTCTTTTCTATATGAAAACTGTCTTAACAAGACACTTTTCTAATAGAAAACTGTCTTAACAAGACACTTTTCTAAAAGAAAACTGTCTTAACAAGACACTTTTCTATAAGAAAACTGTCTTAACAAGACACTTTTCTAAAAGAAAACTGTCTTAACAAGACACTTTTCTATAAGAAAACTGTCTTAACAAGACACATTTCTATATGAAAACTGTCTTAACAAAACACTTTTCTATATGAAAACTGTCTTAACAAAAAACTTAACAAGACACTTTTCTATAGGAAAACTGTCTTAACAAGTCAATTTTCTATAGGAAAACTGTCTTTACAAGTCACTTTTCTGTAGGAAATCTGTCTTATCAAGACACTTTTCTATAAGAAAACTGTCTTAACAAGACACTTTTCTATAAACTGTCTTAACAAGACACTTTTCTATAAGAAAACTGTCTTAACAAGACACTTTCTATAAGAAAACTGTCTTAACAAGACACTTTTCTATAAGAAAACTGTCTTAAACAAGACACTTTTCTATAAGAAAACTGTCTTAACAAGACACTTTTCTATAAGAAAACTGTCTTAACAAGACACTTTTCTATAAGAAAACTGTCTTAACAAGACACTTTTCTATAAGAAAACTGTCTTAACAAGACACTTTTCTATAAGAAAACTGTCTTAACAAGACACTTTTCTATAAGAAACTGTCTTAACAAGACACTTTTCTATAAGAAAACTGTCTTAACAAGACACTTTTTCTATATGAAAACTGTCTTGACAAGACACTTTTCTATATGAAAACTGTCTTGACAAGACACTTTCTATATGAAAACTGTTTGGATAAGACATTTTTGTATATGTAAACTGTCTTGACATGTTACTTTTCTATATGAAAACTGTATTGACAAGTCACTTTTCTATATGAAAATTTTTGCTGAGTGTCAGAAGCTGTAACCTTATAATAAACACGAGATAAATTAACATAAAACACCAACAAAATCAAAACAGCAAACCTTAACATTCACACATAAATAAATATATATTAGAATTTATCACCAACTAACATGTTATCACTCAATCTTACAACACACAACCACATACATACATACGTACATATAAAGGAATATTTATTTAATTATCCTTGAGTTAAGATACAACCAATAAATTTATTTTACTATATTTTATTACTGCAGTTGGTAACCAAACATCGTTCTGGCTTAATGGAAGAATATGAACTAAAACAGCCTGCTATTCTGTCGCTACAAATCTGGGATAATGATTTTATATCACCCGATGATTTTCTTGGTTCTTTAGAAATCAATCTATCCGGTTTTCCAGAACCCTATGACAGTGCCAAAAAATGTGAATTATTAGATGTAACACAATCCATAACTTCTTATGGCTCAACTATCAACAGGGTGGCAAAAAAGAAGTCTCAGCGAAAATTATTAAATCTTTTTAAAGAGAAAAAAGTTTCAGGTTGGTTTCCCATAAGAGGAAATCTAAAGGATTCGAATAAAATGGGTCATATAGGTTTAGCGGGTAAAATGTATCTGGAATTGGAAATTGTAACAGAAACAGAGTCTAAATTAAATCCCGTTGGTTTGGGTAGAAATGGTCCACATGCTTTAGTAGAACCAAAGTAAGTTATGGATCAAATTTTTATGTTTTTGTTTTAATTATTTTCTTTTTTTTTTAGTCGTCCAAAAACTTCTTTCAATCCCTTAACCAATCCTTTTAAAGCTGTCAAACACATTTTGATGCCCAAATTGAAAAAAGTTGTTTTTATTTTATTAATTCTATTTATTGTGGGTTTTGCATTATTGCAACTTGTTGCTAAATTTCCCGTAATTATGTCTGGTTTGGGTTATTAATTTTTGTGAAAATGTTAATATTGATGTCATTGATCTCGTTGCCCAGAAGCTTTTATCTTTTTATTTTATTTATTTTTTGTGACAATTTAATATGGATCTTATGTATGTATTTATGCTTGTGTGAAATGTTAAAATATGTTTATTAAAAAATTTTATAATTATAAATGACTTATAGTTGATGGGCTATAGTCGATAGTCTTAGCAGACTATAAATAATGGTCTGAGTAGACTATAGTCGATAGTCTGTGTCGATAACCTGAATAGACTATAGTCTGAGTAGACTATAGTCTAAGTAGACTATAGTCTGAGTAGACTATAGTCTGAGTAGACTATAGTCTAAGTAGACTATAGTCGATGGTCTGCAGACTATAGTTGATAGCCTGAGTAGATTATAGTCGATAGTCTGAGTAGACTATATTCGACAGTCTGAGTGGACTATAGTCTGAGTAGACTATAGTCGATAGTCTGAGTAGAATATAGTCGATAGTCTGAGTAGACTATAGTCGTTAGTTAGATTAGGCTATAGTCGATAGTCTAAGTAGAGTATAGTCGATAGTCTGAGTAGACTATAGTCGATAGTCTGTGTAGACTATAGTTTATAGTCTGAGTAGACTATAGTCGATAGTCTTAGTAGACTATAGTCATAAGTTAGATTAGGTTATAGTCGATAGTCTGAGTAGAGTGTAGTCGATAGTCTGAGTAGACTATAGACGATAGTCTTTGTAGGCTATAGTCGATAGTCTGTGTAGAATATAGTCGATAGTTTGAGTAGACTATGGTAGATAATCTGAGTAGACTATAGTCGATAGTCCGAGCAGACTATAGTCTATGTAGAATATATTCTATAGTTTGAGCAGACCATAGTCGATAGTCTTAGTAAACTGTAGTAGATAATATGAGTAGATTATAGTCGATAGTCCGAGCAGACTATAATAGACAGTCTGAGCAGACTATAGTCGATAATCTAAGTAGACTATAGTCGATAGACTGAGTAGGCATAGAATGAGTAAACTATAGTCTGAGTAGACTATAGTCGTTAGTTTGCGTAGACTATAGTAGATAGTTTTAGTAGACTACAGTCGACAATCTGAGTAAATTATAATACATAGTCTGAGTAGACTATAGTTGATGGTGTGTGTAGACTATAGTCGATAGTCTGTATAGACTATAGTCTATAGGCTGTGTAGACTAAAGCCGATAGTCTGAATAGAATATAATAGATAGTATTAGTAGACTATAGTCGATAGTCTGAGTAGACTATAGTCGATAGTCTGAGTAGACTATAATCTACGGTCTGAGTAGACTATTGTCGATAGTCCGAGTAGGATATTGTCGATAGTCTGTGCAGACTATAGTCTGAAAGTCAATATTCTGAGCAGAATCTATAGTCTATATAGTCTATAGTCGGAGTAGTCCACAGTTTGAGTAGACTACATTCTATAGTGTGTATAAAGTGGAGAAAATGGTGGATAATCTGAGTATACATCGTCTATAGTCTGAGTTTGCTATATTCTATAGTCTGAGTAGTCTATAATCTGTAGTCTGAGTAGTGTATAGTCTGATTACACAAAAGTCGCTGTCTGGACAAACTGCCTGAGTAGACTATAATTTATACCATATCTTGAACAAATATAAAATTTTAAAACACCTTTTTAAAAAACATTCAAAAATTGTTCAAGTATAATTTATTAAATTTAATATGCAACCCTTTTTTTTTAATAAATACAATTATCTCAACAAAATATAAATATATATTTCATCATTTATTTAAAACATCACTGACCTACATTCTACACAAAATGATAGATTTTTCTTATTATTACAGTAAATACCCCAACCACAGCTGTCTTGGGGCTGCGTTCAAAAACAAAAAAAAAAAAAAAAAAAAAAAACAAATTAAATTTTTAAACAAAAATCATTATTTATAGAAGACACAAAGTCATAATGAGACATTGCACCATTATATATAGATATGTAAATACATACACACTTAAGAAAGGGTTAAAATTTATTTTTATGCCCGCCATTGTAGATATATTAACTTGTAAATTTTGCCATAGAATAAATGTATATGCTAAATATACATATATTTACATATAGACAAACAATCCTTATATACTTCAATGTCTGTATTTTTCTAGCAAATAAATAAAAAAAATGGTTAAATGTAAATAGATGTAAATGACATTAAGTGTCACTTGGTTAGACAAACTACTAAAGTACAGGGGTGTATCAATTTCTAACTATATATGTATATGTGGTTGTTGTTGCTATTGTTGTTTTAGCACATAACTAATTGGAATAAGACCAGTAAACATATAGCTTTGCTATTAGATCAATTTTCAAGTGAATAAAAAAAGGCTACAAACCTCAAATAGATCCATTTTATCGGGCAAGGTGAGCTACTAATAATATAAGTGATACGAGATTTCGATTTCTTTAGGACCAGTTTTGGAACATAAGAAGTGTAAGCTATTAGCTTATTACTTATTTCTGACATTTGCAACTAATTATAATAATTTTGCTGATTATAATATAAATTACTAAGGAACTAATTACTAAGACATAACTGGGAATATTTAAAGTAACTAATTGATTTTTTTTT